CATAATCGAACGCCCGGATAGCTTTATGGCCGATCCGTGTGACTCGAGCGATGATCAAGCGAGCGAAAAGACCGTTTTCGATCGGTGATCATTAATGTGCGCCGGACGGATCTCCGCGCTGGAAAGGCACTGAACGATTGACACGGAGGGGAGAAACACTTGCGCGGCAGAAAATGCGCTCGGGAAAAGTGAAGCTACAATAAAATACCTTCTATTTGATCACCGCTCGTGGTAATTACCGAAGTACGCTTCAATTGGGAATAATTGCACTGGGGGATACGCTTACGAGCGGGGATAAATAAAATTTTAATCACCCAACGATGGCGTTAGGCACTTTAACTGTCTCGGGGTATACGGTAACTGTTACTTTATTATCTTGTACCCGCCGGCACGTCTCGCTGTAAATAACCTCTCGGAGGATAATCGCATTCGCGGGGAGGAGAATTAATACATAAATGAGAGAGGATAGCCCGGGCGAAGGCGCGCGGTACGAGAGCTCGGAGACGTGTATAACGCGTACACTCCGAGTGGCGCACAAATAAGAATAACGGTACGTGCAATAAGTTACCGCTAATCTCTATCAGGCAAAAAGTCAGCGTATTGTTGGACATGGATTTCATCTGATGAGCTTAATAAGTGCTTATTGTCAGTGAAAATTATTATAATTGATATAACCATTAATCAATCACTTTAATCCTTTTTTTTTGAAAATCAAATATACGTCAGCAGAAACTTGAGAAATGAATCGTACGCTCAACAAATATCTTAATTATCTGATAGAAATCAGACTTCTGAAAGCTCGCCTGAGGACAAAACGAAATTTTTCTGGCCATCAGCACTTTCATAGTAAGATAACCAGATCTGGCGATCGTGTCAACGAGTAAAAAGTATGTCACACCTCCTTTACGCAACGACGTTTCGGGATCATACTACCGATGAATACTCATTTATTTTGCAAACTATATTTCGGCAAAAATAATTAAATAATTTGTAATTGTTACTGCAGAAAGTGTATATTCTTATCACAATTATCACATTCGATCGCTTGAAGCATCTTACATTTGCTGCGGAGATGTTGAGTTACGTACGAATAGATCGAAGTACCTACAGGGAGCGATAAACTAGATTGTATAACTTATACAATAGAGTTTACAGTTTGCGGTAGGAAGCGTCATACCGTAAAATATCTCTTATATGGACCCCCCGTCGGACCCTCATTGTGCTCTCCTCTCTAACGAACAATCGTTCGCACGGAATAGGAAGAGTCGGAAGACGATGGCAGCGCACCGGCTTCACGACACATTAATCGCGCTAATTATACACGGAGCACAAGCCTCTTCTTAGGGGAGAAATTCGTAGGAGACGGATTCGTCCAATTTTTCACTCTCCGCCCCGCTCTTAAATAATAACTTTCGAATAGTTTCGCCGGCTATCAAAACAGCATCTATCTGGCGCGTTTTTCGCACGTAGCGCTTACGTAAATGTCTCATAATGAAGCATAGCACAGGGCTATTAATAATGTTAATAGTCAATGGTTAATTAATAATTAATCTGTGGAATAGATATACATCGAGAATCTATCAAACGTGCAATATTTTTTTTTATACATCGATAATTTTGGTAACTTGTAAGAGTTTTTTTTCTCCAACGGGACTTACTCCCGTGCCGATATTTATTGTATTTTTGTACACAAAAATAGATCTTACACAATAAATCGGTAAAATGACGCGACCGATGCTCTTTACGGTCGAATAAATTTTATTCTCAGCCGAGAGTGAAATCATTTATTCCGAAGCCGGTTCTCGCGTCTCGTGGCACAGCAAGAACGGCCGAAACACTTTCTGATCGGCTCGATCGAACGAATTCTGAGTGTTGCCCAATGACAGTTCCTAATCAGAGTCAAAGTACCAGGTTGAATTTCGATTAGTTGCGTCGAAATGCAGTGACACGTTTTGCGTGCGCCAAAATTGGCGTCGCGGCAATTAATCGTCAGGAATAACGGCAATTATTTATTATCGCTTTGTTGCGCAAGCGATTGGTTACCACGATAAACGATACCGATTACTTCAATTCTGTGGTCATTGAAGCGTACGTTAAACTCCGTGAATGCAGGTGTTAGGGGCTAATTTCGGAATACTATCGTGGCCGTAGGCTATTGGCGTTTCGTGCCGTGTCTACTCGTTAAATTTTTACTTCGCCTTGAGGAAGAAGTTAGACATATTTCCTATATACGTAAATTATTAATAACACCGCTTATCGCGGGTAAACGTGAAATCAACGAAACACTACCCTCGCGGAAAGCACATAAATGGATTATGGAAGAATTTCTAAATTCTAATAGGAGAAATCGTTCTAGTGTCAGAACGGAAGCTTGGAATGTGGAAACGCGATATACTGGCAAGATATAACGAAAATTATTAACGTTTTATATAAATAAATCTAACGTCTATTTAAAAAGCGGTAGAATTAAGAAGAAACATTACAATAAGAGATGAATAGCGAATTCTATAGTCGCTCATTTTTGAAAAGTGAAAAATATGTTTTAATAAAATGTATTTTATAAGTTAATTCTAATCTTTCTGTCCTAATATAACTTTATTCGTTTTAGCATATCCTTTAAATTATTTCTAACAATACCGTAATAATATTATAAATTTTGTTTTATCATCTGCTTGCCTTTCCAACTCCAGACTCCAAATCATTCTTGCATATTGCAGACGCGCTCTTATATTTAAATATGAAGTCGCTTGTAAATATACATGTGTATTCGCGAAGAAAACGTCATGATCTGCTCGAGACGTGTTTACTTCACTCCGGGCACAGCTGCGTAGAATTTCGTTTTGGTCGCAGCGCTCAAAAATTCCCGAAGCGGCCCTGGCGTACGTCCAAGCAAGTTCAACGTTTCATATACTCCGCAAACAGATAGTGATCTAATTTACGAAAGATATTCTCTTTTTTTTACGCGCACGCACGGCCAAACAGCTCCCGTTGCGATTATTAACGTTTGTCCTGCATATGTTTACCTTGCACAATCGCACACTTTCTACCTACAAGGCAAACAATGCTTGTAACTAATGCAACAAACACCGCTCGACTGCGGATAGCACGGTTAAAATAGCGAGAAGCGTTATGTTCGTGACTGATCCACTGATGTGACGGATCGCGACGGATTAGATCTATTTTAAGCAGATCTCTGCTTTATGAAGATATGATCGCGCACTGGAATACGTGAGGCGTGTCTGACCTAGTCTATATCTTTGTTCGCTGGTCTGGAAAAACAAGCAAAATGATAATAAAAAATCTATATTATGCACAAATCTTGTTAAACTTGTTGCTCCAATATTTTACAAAACGCATGAGTTGCTTCTGGCAACATGGATTCTAGCAGAAATTTTGCATAGCAAAAAATATATAAAATATATTTTTAGCTCAATATTTCTTGATGTTATCTTTTTTCTCTCGCTGTTTATGTAAATTTGCGGCATCGAGACAAATCACTATTATTAAATTATAAAATTAATTATGCAATCCTATTTGAAGTCTAATTAACATTCTTTTAAATTGCATATTTATAATATGCATAATATACATAAGCTCATATTATTTCCGTCGGATCTTAATAAGTGCTCGTTAACAAGAGAAAGAACAACATTCTGGAAAAGTGAAAAAAATTTCTTATCGGAATTCCATGTTATCGCATTTATATATATTTTTTAATTAACTCTTTCTCTCGTTGCATTCGTTGCGTTACAGTCGACATCGATACATAGTTTTTCTCGATTCGACGATTAATTAAATAATACAGCTCGAAACGAGTATTCGAATAGCACGCATGAGGAAATGAAAGCCTGCTGTTTCGGCATACTACACTTTTGAAGGCTATCGACTTTTGTAACCACGCCTTAACGCAATGTTTAGCATTTATTCAAAAACGTTTGTTTTAAAGCTAAAAAAAAGGCATAAAAGTATAAATTATTACAATTATACAAAAAAGTTGATTCAAAATTCGAAATTAAAATGAAAAATATTTTTAATTTAAAATTAAAATTCTAAATATCTTTTGAGAAATTATTCTTTACGATTTAAAAATTATATAAATATCGGCTTCTTCACAGTTGTTTTTTAATTAATATTCTGTCTGGGAATTTTTTTATTATTCAAGAAGTTTGAAAAAAAAAGATAAATAAGTCGAGAATCTTTGAAGCATATTTTTTGCTGCACTCGCGAAGTTCGATTTAAGAAGGCGAATCAATTGAGCAACTTGTACCATCACTTCCGGTGACCTTTAGTGGGCGTGGGTGACCGTTACTCGCATGTCGTAACATAAAGTAGTTTACCGTAAGGTAACGTTACTGGTAACATATTTTGCATGTATCTTGATAAGGAAGATTCTTTCGGAAAATGTTCAATATGCGATAAAAATCAAAACACAGGCAGATCACAATTAGAGATTACATCTCTCATTTCTTGTAATGCATAATTGATAAAGTGGAGTCTTCTGGCAACATGATAATCCTCTCCGTCACGCGTCAAAGGCTATTATGTTCATACAATATGTAAAGTATTACAATTAATTATCTATAATTCTTACAGATATGCCATAGGAAGTGGATAAAATATAAGAAGTACCGTTGAAAGAATAAACAGTAAATTATATAACAGCTGATGATTACGAAACATAGCTGGTAATATATTTCGCTAGATGAAACTTGTCCGTGTCGAATAACAATTCATAAATTTTATTAGGATTCAGGTCTAATTTACGCAGCTTCCGAATGAAACTGATCTGTAATCTAGGGAGGACTTCCCATACCCGTCTGAGAACTCGTTCCTCGCGTTGTGACACGGACAAAAGGAACAATTACGAAAACTTGTGTAACTGAATAATGCAGTCCTGTACGGCTGCAGCGTGCGGGAGGTATCCTCTCTCTTTCTTTCCTACTTTTACAGAACCGATAAGAATCTGTTTGGGAACTGGAGCGCGATAGAGCGCTTAATTAATGCGAGCATGTACGGCACATTTCTGTGCGGAAAACTGAGAAGAAACATAGGAATCGCGTGTATTTACGTTCGAAACTCACGTGCCTGCAGTCTCTCCATTTAATTAGAAGCGATAGACGAGAATGGAATTCGCATCCTGTTGCGCGTCTCACTTAGATCATCGTTATTGATTAATTTGTACTAATCAAAGACCGATCACCCAGCGGTTTTATAATCTTGCGTTCATCGACAAACCTAGTCTCTCAAATTGATTAGATCCGATGACTCAAACTTAGTTAATAGCCGACCGTACAAGTCGTAACAAGTGTATGACCAGCATAGTACATTCATGGCGTGTTACTACAACAAGTCCACGCAAGTCCATTGGTAATCTAATTTGGTACTGGAAGGTTGCAAGGTTACTTTCACCCAGGCGAGGGGGAAAAAAAAAGAGGTAAAATCTTAAAAGCATGATGCCATTACGGAGCGTGCATTATCGACGGTGATCGAAAAATCAAGGCCATCCGTTACATCTACGAAGTGACAATTTAGCTCAATCCTCAATAAACTTTGCAAGTAAAAGTCGTGACAGGCAGGATACTATGCGTGATATACTGCACGCGTGATATGCGAGAACTAAGTGTGTGACGTGCAAGACCTAAAGATTCTAAAGGCAACGCGATCTCAACCTCCAGGGTAAAGATGCGAACCCGTTATTATCACAAGAACGCAGCAAGTATCGCGTGTGATGATCGTAACGTAAGTTATTGAGCCAGCGTATTACCGCATCGCGAATCTTCTTTGAAAAATTCTACAAGTGCTCTGTAAGCAGACCTGTGTGCCCTCTTAGGCGCATCGATAGGCTCTAATAATTAGACATTCGCAACCGCTACTACAAAGTCACACCCGATATTACGTGATCGCGCATTTATATAACACTCGCATTATCCTTGCATTATATGGTTAGCAGTGGTGACAGCACAGAGAAAGTTCCTATCCGTTCCCATATGCTCGAGCACCTCATACAGTCTACGCGCGGTGCTAAGGCACTCCGCTTTGATTATGCTCGGCTGTGCCGATGCACAGTGCCGTGCGATTGTCATTCAATACCCCGAGGAATTCAATTAATATTTCGCAATCGTAGAAATCTCTATGTCCTTCTCTGACGTCTTGCGCAAAAAAAAAAACTGCCGACGAGAGACAACTATTCCAAAAATAATACATAAAATTGAGAACTTCGACGTTTATAAATTAACAGTATTATATATGATTATATTTTATATTTAAATGTAATCCTACGCGTATGGAATTATTTATAAATTATATATATAAATTATGTGTCGAAATTTTAATAAAATGATAAATTAATATACCTAATTATCCTTCAAATTTTATCAAAGAATTTAATCTCTGAAATTAAATTGGAACGCAAATCAACTCACTAATTAAATAATAATTATTCTATTACATAACTAACGTAATCAATTTGTTTGTTACAGTGCCAATATGCGGGAGAAACGATGGCTGCTGCTGCTCGCTCTGTACGGTAAGCACAATTTCTACAGAATCTGATGATTCTTCGTTTCTCGACGATCATGATTTCGATACTAAACGGAGCTTGTCAGCGGGACTTTTACTCGATTTCTACTATTTCTTGAAATCCTGTTTACCTTTCTGCAAAAGAAAGAATCTCTCCCTTGTCCATCTCGCGGTCCGCCGTGATGTCGCGTCCTTAGTATTTTTGGACTTTCCACGGCCACGGAGGAATGCCGAAGAGACAGTGGACGACCTTCTACACCCGAGAATTTTACGTCGCGCACGTAAATCGAGTCTCAACGCGACTCCTCGTACAATACAAAACAGCGACTACCTTCCATGACAAGCAAATTAAATTGAACACAATGTACGAGTAATGAGAAGTTAGACCTGCTGATATTGGCACGGATAAAACTTGACAGCTATTTATAACATTTTATTTTGTATATAAAAGAAAAAGTAATTTAGAAACTATAAAATATAAACTATTCTCTTATATTTTACTCAATCATAAATATTAATTAGAAGATGTCTTATAAAAGACATCCCATAGATTATTAAATACTGAAGTCTATTATTAAATGCTAAAGGCGAAATGGGTGTCTTGGTCAACCGAGAGAAACAAGAGTTTAAATCTTTATAAATTACATCAAACACATTTGGTATTCGCATTGCGATTCACGGCTACGTGCGATTCGGCAAAAATGCTTTACAGAAAAGTTGCACGAAGAAAGAGGGACCTGTTGTGAATGCCAAGAGGACTCCTTTGTCTCGTCGCGAAGCATGAAACGTGTAATCTTGACAGTCCGAAAATTCCGGATAAGATACTTGGCAAACACAGGCATTAACGTCATCCGCTCTTAGAGCGGCGACAGAAAAAAGCTCGGGATCTTGATAAAGAACGGAATTCCATGAAAGCTGGCTTGCGAGGAAAGACTACGTCGCGGCTGTTTACAAGCGCGTACCGCGAATTCAACTCGCTATCGACCTGCTCTGCGCCCGTAACACTCATTGAAGCGGTTTACATCAGTCACGTGACGCTGTGTGCTAGCATTTAGAATGCTTTCTGACATTTTCGCCGGTTGGGCAACACTCGATCCGCGGAGGTCTTTAAAATCTCGCTTGAGAATCACGAAATAATTCAAACCGCTATTCTTACGGCATCGTAAAACTTTTTACGATAATTAGCGACGCTATATTAATCTCACGGCGATGAACACGATGTTCACAACTAACGTGTCTGATCATCATTGCGCATCAGCGCGTTAGGTGCCGCGCGTAAAACGTGCACGTAAATGCGTTTCGCGTCGCATCATAATTCCTTAATGAAAATCATCTCGCCAAGGCGAGAAAGAAGTCCCGGTCCACGCCCTTCGAGAGGAAAGAAAATGTCAGGTCATTCCCATTCGATCGAGACTACGCGTCGCCGATAGACAATTGAATGAAGCAATTTGTTTATACATCGACGTAGAAATAGCGAACGATTTCGTCATCAAAAACCGACTTAGCGTATAAACGTTTGCAGAAAGAAAGAGAAAGAGAGCACGCCCACGTTAACGTTTCCCACAAACGGAATGCGAGCGCGTTCCCATAATTCATTTTTATGCAACGCCAAGCCCGCGTGCGGCGCGGCTCTTTATCGATCGCAGCCTGGAAAAGTATGATCCCGTTATACGATCGCCGGGCCTACCGTACACATTTTCAACATCACCTTCGAGGACATCCACTTTCCGGTCCACGAGCCGCGTTCACGTTGTCGCGCAACCCTAATCGATTCAACGAAGGCGCGAACACGTTTTTCCGTCTGTACGTGCACCATGCGCGAGATTCGTATCGAAAATAACGGAAGCAAGAAACACGGTCGTAAAAAGCAGCGATTGTATATCCTATAGAAATTGTTAGTCGGTTACCTGGCTGGTAACTGTTTTCTGTATCCTAAGTTTTACTGATTAATCAAGTAAATGTCAGCGATAGAATTTATATTAATTATTATTTTTCCCTTTCCTAGCGGTACTTTCGCAGCGTATATGAGTTATTGAGTACATAAAGATATACAACGTTCATAAAGATATATAACGTCGGGAGATAAGTCTTGTAGAAAGCGAAAAAACAATTCCTGCCTTAATTCGCGCTTCACGGACTGTCCACACCTCGTATCTTAATTTCCTCAGCTGCTAATTCTTAAAATAGCCTTGAACTACTTCAAAACGGTCACAAATGTGATTTAGTACCAAGGCTTTACGGAGCCATTAATAACAACTGGAGGCGGCATATAGGTTTTCTCTGTTTATTTTAGAGATATAAATACACAGAGATAGGAACAAGGGAATTTGATCAAAATAAGAAGTTATTTAATAAAAACAAATGAGAGAGACAAATACAAGAATCAACCACAGATTTCTAAAAATCTGTGAAACCAACGAAGTAAAAATGAAATGTTCATGATTGACTGAAGATTGATTGCAGCGTATTACCGGTTTACCGCATATTAGCATACGTGGCTCATATATTGTATCGTAAATCAACAAAATGTGGAAAGGAAATGATCAATAGACAGCCTTGATCCGTTTAAGAACAATTACCCAACCGAATGCGCTCGCTCGGCGAGAGAAAATTGCAACACTTATGTTGGGTTCTCACCACACTCCTCGTCTTAAGTTTTGCAACGCCGACGCTTCTTCGCGATTTACGTAATCCACGGATGCCTGATGTCCTTTTTCCTTAATGTATCAGACGACTCATCGGGGCCATCGATACTCCTCAGGCGAGCAAACCGAACTATTTTTACCACGAACGTGATTATGTCCGCGCGACGTGGGACGTCATGACACCGATTCATGCTTCTCAATGATTTTTAAATAAAAACATTTTTTTACGTTCTCAGTAACGAGATCGTTTTTTTTTTTTTTTTTAGGAATACTATTGGCCCACGCCGTCTCCGCAGCACTCAAGACTAGGCCAAAATTTAAAATTGCGACAACTTCCACAACAACGACCACCACCTCCACCACCGAGGAGCCTCACGTGGAAGAAAATGATCAGGCAAATTCGGAGGTAAGAAAAACATATCTAGAATAGTTCATAAAATAATACGATTAACTGAATATTATCTAGAAGCCTTTAATAAAAATAATTATATAAATCTTGATACTGCGTTCTCAAATTTAAGCACGATTAATTTTGCGTCAGCTAGATAGAATCAATATACGATCTTGGAGATCAACGATAATCAAAATAATTTTGGTGAATGCAATCTTTGATATTATATAAATAAGAATGTACTTTAGGCGCACTTTCAAATTGAAATCGAATTGAAACTGAAATTATACCGGTATCATCCTCGTTTCAAATCGTGCGCTCGTGTTGCTCTGGCGGCACGACGTAGGCGAAACATGATCGTTTATCGTCAAACGTTGCAAAACCGATGCCACAGTCACGACGATCGTGTACCGAAACGAGTTCTCATTTCGCCGGCGCTTCCTCGCGAGTAAAAGGGGGAAGGGGAATCTCGCAAATGCAACACGACATAAATTAGCCGGTAATACATCTTGGAAGCGTGGTAGAGCGCATTGACCACCGTGGTAATACGATAAACATCGCGTGTCGTGTTCCAAATCACGAAGACAGCGCACACGGGCTGTAAACCCCCTACGCCGCGTAAATCCGGTTTGACATCGCGACTCATCCGTCGTGTCTGCATCTGCGGAGGCGCCGTGTCTTTGATTAATGCACACCGGCGTCAAATCAATTAACGTTCGAGCGAAACTCACGCGCGCGACAGGTTCACCTTCGCGCGCAAACACGAGCGAGTGGTGACATCATCAAATCGAGCGCGGGGTGCTCATCATCGCTAATCATTATAGCACGACGCACAGCGGCCTCTTCGAGCGTGAAATAACTTTTCTACAAGATACCGTTCTATATCGGACGGCGCTTTTCCGTTCACGGTACGCGGAAACTGTCATTACAGCAAAATCGGTATCGAATCGGGGGCTGGTGCTCCCAGGAAATGAAAGCCATTTTATTGAGATCCGACATAGTTCATACGTTTGTTGTAAAGTAATTTCGAATTTTTTTTTCAAACTCTTCGTCTTCGACGCCATTAGTTTCGCAACATCGCGAAAAAGTCGACGAGGGGCTGTAATGTTCGTCTTGTTTTTCAGACGACAACGGTCGCGACAGAAACCAACGGGACGACTGGGCACACCTTGACAGGAATTCCACAGATCGATTACATATGGGATCCGAATCTACCGCGCGAGTTAAATGGCTATAATCTCAGTGATTATCCATTCTATAATAGTATACCCGAGGATATTGATTTCAAATGCGACGGCTTACACGACGGATTCTACGCCAGCGTGCCGCACAAGTGCCAGGTAATTAAATTTAATCGCACGTTACAATATAAATAAAAAAAGTATCGAGAAAATAACAGTGATGCGCTTTGGAGAGATACAGAGAAAAAGTAATGTAAATTTCTACGCCAAACGCGCGATGTGTCGAGAGCGACACAAACGCCGATTGAAGTCCATTTATTAAAACATTGACGCTGCTGCGTATGCAGTTTGAGCGGGACGATACGCTAGAATTATCTCTTGGATAAAAAAGATGCCAATTCTAATGCGGCGTGAGGGAAATCAGTTGTCGCCTGATTGAATTCTAAAGAACAGATCCTCCAATGTCTCCTTCGCGTAATAAATTGACAGGTGTCAATGATCCGAGAGCATTGCCTTCTAATTTCTAATGTCGACGGAAGACAGTGATCACTATTCGATTCCAGCGATCGGTCGATGGCATCTGTACGAAGGCCTGATTGATAAGCGATTAACATCGAACGCGAGCAACCACGAACGAACGAAAGCGAGTTCTCGGGCGAGACACGAATGCAAAAAAATGCGTATCAATTGAGCACACTTTTACCAATCATCAGATTGCAGTGAGCGATCGTTTCACCGCGAATCTCTGCACACATTACGGGTTCGATATACATAAAAACGACCGATTAAGAAATTATCATTGTAGAATCATTCGTGCCGTTTGAATGAAACAAAATTACAACCTCGTAATTACCATAGATAGTAGTAAGTAGTAATTACTGCAACTGTGTATGTGTGCATGTGTATGTGTGTTTGTGTAGATAAGCACGAGGCCTATAGCGTAATATTCATATTATTCAAAATGGAAAAAAACCGACATCGCTCGTGTTGCAATTTAAATCATCGCGATGCCAATATCTGATACACGTCTGATACGCGATCGTGTGACGTAGATAATCGGCGAAGATAAATCTCTATATAATGTCATGTAAGTGGCAATTGCACGACTAATCGAGAATTTGCAATAAACGTAACGTCATGTACATAAAATCGCCATATAATGTATCATCACGATGTATATCGATTACATGCGTTGATAAAATAATTAAAGTAGCGACGTTCTCAAGGAGTGTCAAATAACTGATTGGATACACTGTTAATGTTTCACTAATCGTTTCACTGTTGCAAAGTAAAGTTGCAGAAGTAAAGTAGAAATCAATATCGAAAGTGAAAAACCTTTTGCCGGTCGCAATAACAAGGTCATCGTGGAAAGAAGCCGAGGAAGAGGACTTTCGTGGTCCGCTACGCTTCCCGTCCCTGACCGTTCCGCGATTCACGTGCGCTCGCGAACTCCTAGAATTGTGAAAGCGATTGCAAAGTAGCCTCTTTCCGACCGGACTCAGCTCGTTTTCTTATCGATCATTTTCGCGGGACTGTAGAGAGCGAATGGAGCATTGTCATGCAAATGTAACGAACCCGGGTTCGTCGGCCGGGACGTGCTCCACGCGGCGCGTCGTTAAAAAAAAAAGGACGTGTCGGGAAGACCGGTCATCCTGTGCGCTTTGCGAAAGATTTGTCGCGGAAGAGAAATTGGGAAATGGGCAATTAATTCGCCGCCGGCTTCCGGTGCGGGAAATCACCTGCGATCGCTTGGATTATTTTCTAATCTCTTTCCCGTCTCGGGTACAATTTACAATTGTAATGACCCTGCTGATTAATATTTCCAGAACGTGATCGATGTAACGCTATAACGTTTGCGGGGACAATAAACGCTCATAATTCATGACACTAAGGATCCATAAGATCGCATGGAAACGCACGTCGAAATAAAGAATGATGCATTCTGAATAATTCTAACTCTAGTTCTCATGCAAATAACCGTGATTTATTCTGCGCATTCGGAATGGAGGAAGTCTCGACCGACTGAACATTTTACCACCGACTTTCCACCGTAAATTCTTCATAGAGTTGAAACTATCGGGGATCGGAATCTCTGAACGTGCAGCATTATACGTGATTCATTAAAAGAAATTCAGCAAATAATTTTGTTCGATAATTGATTAAATCAATTCAATATTTGATGAAAAGAACTGGAAGATAAATTGGAATAGGGATAAACTTTCAGTAAAATTACAATAATTCTAACTGTACTGAAATCACTCAACGCCGCATATACGCGCGTGAGACTCGTTAAACGCACGATTAGACGTTCGATGATCGTCTGACATTTACATGTTCACGAGTTGAGTAAGATTCATGATCTATTATTGGCAGGGATCAGAGCTAGCTTCTACTTTTTTACGGTGGATCTCGGTGAAACGGTGCCGGGACATTTATCGAAAGGATGTGCTCTGAATGATTCTAGATAATTCCCCTAGATAATTCTACGGCGTTTGTGCGTTCCAGATAATACCACCGAGCCCTCACCACACACTCAGACGCGAGAGCCTTTTTCATTCGTGAGCGTGCCGTAGAATGCACATTTATGCGACTCCGTGCAATTATTCGCACTCGCACACTCGCGCGCCGCCGTGTGAAAGCTACGTGGTGGCGTGCGGCAAGATCGCCCGCGTTCGTTCGCGGTGAAAAGTGTGCTGAAATCGTCATGTCGCCAAACGGTTTCGTTACCACGAGAGGACGACCGACGTAACGAATCGCGAGCAAGATTGCGCGCGGCGGGCGATCAAAAAGGAAAACGACCGAGGCGCCTTCAAAAATCTTCGAAAGTCCGACACGCGGCGCCGATTTGCCGCCCACTTTCACCTATCGATCGCGATTCGATTTCGTAAACGCCCATGCAGCGTCAAAATCCATCCCGTATTTTTAATGACCGTCGTTATCGCAATTAACGGCGCGCCATTCTTATTCTCGATACGGCAGACGTGTCGCGATAATTCTAACGTCGTATACGTGTGTCTTCCTCAAGGTCTACCATCACTGTCTCTTCGGCACTCGCTACGACTTCCTATGCGCCAATTTCACGGCGTTCGACCAGAAGACCTTCATCTGTCACTTCGTGTCCGAGGTCGACTGCGCCAACTCCAAGAAGTATTGGCACAGGAACGACGCCCTTTACCAAGCTGCTACGACTACGACGACTACCACGACCACCGTGGCGCCGATCACTGCGCCGACCAGTCGACCGGCCGCACGCGATCGGATTCCACCCAGAAGGAGACCTCCAGCGAGAAGAAGACCTTACGATTATTACGAGGAAGATTATTACGACGACGACTATGGTCGTCCGCGGGATTTCATCGGCCGAGACGACTACGAGTACGACGATCGGAAATACAGGCGAGATCGGGATCGTGAGTTCAGAGACCGGGACCGTGATCGTGACTTCCGGGACAGGGATCCGCCGGCGCGCGGTAGAGACGACAGGGACAGATACCCGGCAAGAGGAAATAGGAGAGATCCACCCAGACCGAGGGACCCGCTGGAGGATGATTTGAGACCTCGGGGAAGGAATCCGGATCAAGGTGTCAGATCTACGACGAGGGAGGTGGAAGATTCAGATGTGTACGATAGACGGCCGGAGTCGAGAAACAGGGATACCGATGAACGAAGATACTCCGATAAGAGGTGAGAACACGCTGGCGCGTTGATCTTATCGAAAACCACTTCGACATATCTTATGTATGCAACAACTTTTTGGTATTGCATTGTTTAAATGGTATACGCTTACGAAACTTATTCATTCTTATTCACGTCAGATATAGAGATGATTACGACGATAAAGAGTCTACAGCACCTTCGGCGAGTGCATCATCCAATGCGGAGGGCCTGGTGAAGCCGGCTGCACCTAGCAGTTCGGTTTATTCGAGGCCAAGAGCGCCACCGAAAATTAGACGACCGGTGCCACTTTCGGAGCAAGATAAATACGCGTACAAAACCACCCCTGCGCAGCCGACAGGTAAAATATTTACCTGATAAAATTTTTTTATATTGGAACTTAGTGTATAAATTGCTCTTTAAAATAATAATATTAATTGTGATTAAAGAGGAGCCACGACGGCGACCAGTAGATTTGGCAGAGGACGATTACTACGATGACGAGTTAGAGGATACCAGACCGAGCAGGAGGCCGCTCAGAAGAAGACCCTCATACAGGGACAGAGACAGAGACAGAGATTTGTATGAAACTCGGGATCGGGATCGTCCCCTCAGGTAAGGTAACGTACACAACACCGATAAAGTTATATTCAATGAACTAAACTACTAAACAAAATCATATTCATTTTCAATGTTCATAAACAGTATTACATTTAAAAAAGAATAACTATCCTTGTGACTGAAGCGAAATATCATGATATAAAATCATTAATTATATCTTACATTCATTTTAACTGTAACATCAAGAAATACATCATTGGCAAATTGTTGATAACATATTTTATCAAAATTTTCATAGAATTCTAAAATGGCTTTGTAACAAATATATAAAAACAAGGGTGTTGTGAGAATCAATGTACAAAAGTTTAATGCAACCATTGAACTTCATAATCATTAACAATAATTAATATTATAATTAATAATAATAATTAATTTTTCAGAACTCGTTATCACTCACCGCCGGAAGAGGTACGACTCAGAACGTATCAGGATCGCTCGAGGGATCGTTATCACGATCGCGACAGGGACCGAAATAGAGACCGAGCTCTCGAGCGTGGAAAAGATCGCAATCCCGAGAGATCCTCAGATCGCGATTCACGTGGAAGATCGCAAGATTCCGATAGACAGGAGCGACCGTACTCGCCTCGGCTTCTCGACCGCGAGAGAGACGCCGAGCGACCGCGATCCTCCTCGAGATCGAAGGATCTATCGGATGCTACTGAAGCACCCAGGAGACCCAACTCGTACGATCGAACAACCGAGAAAACCACCACTACAACTACCACAACAACTACGACGACATGCTTACCAGAACAGCTTATTCGTAAGCCCGAAGACGACTCTAAAGACACGGTGACTGATCGATCGGAAAAGCCGTCTTATCCGGAACGACCAGCCAGACCCGTTTCGACTCAAAGTAGTCGTGTAGTGAGCGACACTCCGGATTATCACAGAAATTTGTCCGATAAATCCCAGAGAACATCTCAGCAAGTGGATTACCAAGATAGAGACCTGGAAGGTAGAAACGAACAGAGTCATCATCAAGTCGCGTATCCGGATGAGTACTCTTCCGAGTATTACGACGAACCGTTGGAAGAGCCACCGTCTCCTCCTCCACCTCGAACCACCGTTCGCATCGTGAAAAGGCCGTTCCTACCGTCTCGAGGCGGTAATCCCAATCCGAGGGGATTATCACCGGTCGGCTCTAAAGCGCCGCATTCGCCCAGAAGAGACGAAGAAACAACGACCGACCACCGAAGCACTTTAGGCGAAAACGAATACAGGAGTTACTACGTACAAGAAGAACAAGAAGATAATAGAAACGTTAATCATCAGGAGCCGCCCCTGAGAGCGGACAATAAGCAAACGTATGACGCTTACAAAGCCGTCCAGAGTGACCTTCAGAAGAAGCAACGCCAAGACGAGTACGATAGCGTGATATCCAGACCGGCGCCACGAAAACCGATAGAGAAGGACAACGAGGAGGAAGTCTCGAGAGGCCCGGAAGATTTATCGAACTCCTCCAGAGGATACTCCACTCAGAATCAATCGTATGATTTGCGCAACCATCAAATCGAGAATCAACCGCCTAAATGGATAGAGAATTACTCGAGCGAGAAGCACGCGAATGTCGGCAACGTGCAGACATCCTCGGGTTCTCCGATCCGCAGCAAGGTGAGACTTCCCTCCGTCGAGACCACGTCGAACATCTACAGCTCGACGTACAGGAACGAGGACATTCAGGATCTACCGTCGGGACCGGGCAGCTACAGAGCGAAGCAGAGGATCAACGAAGTGACCCTTCAGGATATCCCCGAGAGCGAGTACGACGTTACTCTGAATGACGCCCTGACGCCGACCTTGGTTCAGGAAGCCAATTTGCCGAGCGGATTCGTCCTGCCACTTCACAGACAGCTGAGTAGAGACACCGTGTTGCAGCCTTCCGAAAACAATTACAAGCTCTCCCGGCCGATCAGTCAGCAACAGCAGCAGCAGCAGCAGCAACAGCAACAGCAACAGCAGCAGCAACATCAGCATCAACAAAAATCGTTCGTTCCGAGTCCTCAGTTCCTGCCGACGAACATCGGCAATAACGATCGGAGCCGAACGGTGTATTACAGAACGCCGGAGGCTATACAGGTCAGCGGAGCGCAATACAGACACCAGAGACCATGGCAAGATTACACGGCGTACTAACAGAGATATATATACATCGTGATGTACGTGATTGCGAGTGTTATACGAGGAAGCGTTTGAGGTTTCACGAGGCCGTACCATCTTGCCTCGCGAGCGTTAAACGACTAATTTATATACTGCCACCAATCGACTTGGGAAAGACACTTTCATGGAAGAGAAACACCGCGCTCTTTTATGAAACTGGCTTTCCGCGAACGGACCCATCGCGTTCGACCCTTAGCCCCGTTGCGATCAGATCATCGAGTGTCTTTCATTCCAAAGAACGCGCGACGCACCCGTCGCGCCGCTCTGAGGGTAGAAAATAATCTGCAGACGATTCAGTTAGGTATTAATAGCTCGCGTGGTTTCGAGACGATGTAAATTATTGCAAATTAGAAAAGGGACGAGAGATTATATATTGTCAATCGCGAAGTGGCGCTATGCCATATACCTTTGAAAAAGAAATCACAATCCGATAGTCAAACACAGAGAACAATGCGATATTAATCATCCTAACACACACACACATACACACACACACACGCTCATCGATACTCATTATTATCCACACGTACCGCGATGAAAAGCAAAGGCAGGATTAATGTTCAACGATAACGCCGATCATAGATAATTCGTTCTGAGATCTTCGCTAGAGAAATTGTGAATGACTACACATAGATCCACTTAAAATAATGTAGCATTATAGAGATGCAATAGCATATGTCATACAGTAAACTCGTTTCCTCTGAGCTGGCAACGTGATGCAATATAATAGAGCTTAAAACGTGATACATTCTAATAACAATTTAATTTGCGATATTAATACGTGTCATCCACATTAGCCGAAATCGTCACTGAAGTTTCAGAGGTGCTGAAAAGATATCTCCATTTTTCTGAATTATACAAACAAACTTGTAAATAACCGTGTAACTCTACATGCTATGCACATTCGTTCAAGTTAAAATGCAATTCGAAATATGCGGTCCTGTATGAAAAAGAAACTACATGTATACATTAAGTTCTATTGTCGAATTCGATAGCTGTTACTAGCGGATAAGTCTTCCTGAGCGTATATCTTGTCTTAAAGCTATGTCGATATTTACGTATGATATAAAAGAGCGAGGAAATATACTTACTTGTTATTCATTGCCCCTCTTCACATCTTGATGGCTGTATTACACAAACGTAGCACTTGAAAATGTTTTTGGAGAGCAAAATTTTTGGACTTTTATTTTTATTTGTACTTTATAGTACGACAAAAATTACACAACAAATATTTGCCATTAAAAGAAATTCATAAATATTACAAGGTCGAGAAATTCGCTAATTGTAAAGGCAACCGAGTAATTTCGTACTAAAGTTTAAAGCGACGATTGTTTTGAAATGATCTTAAATAATGCTGCTACGTACACTGCTTGTTAATGTATACAGGGTGTTTTCGAAAGATCTGGAATTTAATTGTCATTAAAATAAAAAAACTGTAATACGGAATTAAAGCTTTTTCGAATATATGTGCATCAACGTCGATTTTTTTTATTCCTATAAAGATTAATGGAAATAAGCTTAAAGTTTAATCAGATTTTTCAGAAACGCCCTATATATAAAATAATAGAAATGTATCGGACATTGGTATCAGCAACAGTATGTAATATTTACACGGAAATATTTCAAAATTAGATCATTGTGCCGAGAAAGTGCAATCAAGAAAACAATAAAAATTCAGTCATAACATAAAATACATCACAGAGACTTGATTGAAAACTTAACGGAGCCACGAATACACAAATTGCAATCGTTGTAAATATTCAGTTTTTTCGATAGAAATAAAACACATGGGACATTTGAATACATTTCTGACAAAGAACTGATATACACACAAATATCTACCATGGCTTTTGTATAAACGTGGCTGCAATAGTAACAGGATATTCAGTCAAATCAATTAAATGCACCGACCGTAATAACAAATGAGCAGACAGCACTAGCCATACTTTGGATCAATAATAAACGTGAGTTGTCGCTGTAATTAAAACTAATGTAATAGTATTAATTCGCCAGTACCACTCGCCATTCTCAGATTTGTATTTGCGAACTATAAAAATATCAAATCTAGACGGCGACCAAAGTCATTGCTATGCACTGAATAGTTGCTACGCGATCCCCTCGGGTTTCTCTAATAGATTCTGTACAAAAATTATAGAGTACAAGAATAGGATACGTATATAATATGTATAATTCTCGGAAGCTTATTTTATTAATCTTTTACGAGCCAAAGCCCACGTTCGTCATAAATGATATATAGATACATTTTCCAATCACAATTAGATTAAATTATAGGAAGAAATTGTTCCTGGCAAGAGTATGCAATCCTGAATAGCAAAGTAAATAGTATTTACAAATTTTATTATGTTACAGAAACATCAAAGAGATTAAAAAGCCTGCATCCTTTTTGGTATAAATGCAATCGTTTCCAAATTTCCTGCAGTTAAAGTAAGTACTAATTTGGATCCATGAAAATAATTCGGTTTATTTGGTATTCGTCATAAAAGTAAGAGTCACGAAAAAACAAGGTATTCCGGATGAGAAATTAATTATCAGTGATGGATTAATAGAAAGATTGTGTTGCCTGTAAATTGCAAAAGATATTTATAGTAATTATTATGCATTATTATGCATTATTATGCATTACAATACTTAAATTTAAATATCCTTTTTGATGCTTAAATGTAATTATTATTATAGAGATCAAAAATTAACCGTAATTTAAGAAAATTTAAAAAGGAACAAATTTAGTGTAAATCATATTATGTCACCGAATATTATTTTAAAACAGACGTAATCCTATTCACAATAATGACACAACATTTAATATAATTTTCCTAAATTTCAGCTACAGCGAGGAAGGTGACGAAAGAAACGATCACCTGATTATTATACATCTATTAATATTATGTAAGATTTACTGACCAGCTTATTTTAATATCAATGTAAAAAATTATTCTCTCAGTGAATGCTTAGAATTATCGTAAACGTAGTTCCATTATGCTTTATATTCCTTAACCAACCATCACATATAAATATAGATTCGGCAACTAGCGTGAGAGTAACAACGCTTTTATGTCCGCGATGGATAAAGGATAAGCGATGGGTAAAAATCTAGCCAAAAAATATTCCATCTCTTGGAGCTGCAAGTAATTATTACAATTCTATACGCGATGCAATCATTATAATTATATAAACTATGTAATATTTGTATATCCCCGCGATCATCGGATTGACGACCGACACGACGTGATTTGATAATCCATCTCCGGATTAATTATAAAAGCATAATTACTCGCGCAAGTGCGTCTTTACATTTGGCCTCGTGATTCATTTTCATCCCTTGCCTCTCGTGCACCTAGTTAGATGTACTTCCCTGCTGATAGATGCACGGAATTATACGGTAACGATTCCTAAAGGAATCAAACGAGCGCGTCGCCGGACCGACTATATATATAATTTGTGTACTCCCGTATCAAAGTCCACTCTCTATAGTGTATCTCGTAACTACGTACGTTCTATCAACAGACAAGTATACACCGCATCTATTCGAGTTTCGATCGTTTGGTACACGCGGCCAGTGCATCTCTCTCTCTCTCTCTCTCTCTCTCTCTATAATTCTCTCATACATTTTACTTATCAATATTTACGCTATCGGTGGATCGTCGTCGTCATCGTCATCTCTTGTGACTATGACATTGCCGTAACGATTGTGACGATACTGCCGAAATCGTTGCACCCATTTGTACCGTCTCGCGCCGAAGTACAGTAGCACACCGACTACTATGAGGAAGGTGGGTATTAGCAGACCGGCGGCTACGGAGCTACCTAAATCAAATTTATTGAGAATTTAGTCGCCAAACGTTGGCGTTTTAGCTACTGCTGGTAGTCGTCAGCTTTAACAAATCTTTTTCTTCCTGTGTATCTTGCTTCCTTATCATATCAATGAATGAATAATAGGCAAGTTAAGTGGTGTTATCTAATCGTGAGTTAAAGACGCTCGTAAACAAGGACGGACGACTACACTCGGATATTGTCCGTAAAATGTCTTCCGAAATATATCTTCTTTAAACGGAATAACCGCGATCTCTAAATTGATTTTCATCGTAAAATCTGTGAGAAAGCAAACAAACATTCAGCAACGCATTTCCCGATGTGCACGTACCTCCTGACTCGGTCCTCTGCTCTGGCTTCAGGGTGGTGTAGAGTACGTCGACGACCGTGGATGTAGCCCTAACGCATTCGCCATGAACAAAATCAAAACCACGTTGGCAATCGCACAATTGCTGGCCATTGCTGCTCACGTGGCACCTCTGATTTTTACCGCACTGCGAAAGGATGAGTTCCGAAGTGTTACACGGTCGTATCGTGTGCGCTTCGTCGTCGCTTTCTGAAAAGAATCGCCACCAACACTTTAAAGGTAAATGAATCATCAAGAATGAGTCAATCGACAACGTCCAGCACTCTCTCCAATTTGTATTCTCGTAAATCCGGCGATACAGATCTCCGCTTAACATTGCAGCTATACGCATCGAACGAATTAAAAGCAGAATACTCCTTCACATGTGAAAGGAACATTTATGTGAAATATTTGTAATTTGATAATATAAGTTCAAGAAATAATTACATTTATTATTGAATATTTCATATAAGCATGATACACGAGTGCGAAAATAGACCTATAGGCGTTTTTAAAACAGCTCGGAAAATAAATAATTGCTGAGAAATCCACAAAGATATTACAAGGAGATAATAATAATAATAATAACCAATAGTACGAATTGTCAAGCTATATATAATATAAAGTTTATGCATGTTAATCTTGTCAACTGAAAATATTTGCTGCCAATTTATCTGTCGAAATAATAGAAAGATTCGTTTCCAGCTCACTCGCTGCTGAAATAACGCTAATTCAATTTGTAAACATAAAATCGACATAAATAACATTCAAATACGGCATACAATTTCAAAATTATAATTGTTATGATACACATTTAAACTATAATCCAATCATAAACGCGACAATTTTGTGATAGCAATAAAGAGGAAAATTTGAATCATACTCTGTCATTATAGATCACTTTCTGATTCTTATTCTAAAAAAATTAATTATTTCATTTAAAAAAGCATTTATCGTTCGAAAACGCAATAAAATGTTATAAATAAATCCTACATTAAATTAAGAGATTTTGTGAATTATGTGCGATTCGAAAGTTTTGTTCGAGACTGCCCGTGTAATCTTGTAGAGATAAAGCCAATGTAATTGTCAAGACAATGCAACATGTACACTACATATGTATAAATCAATGATTAAGCTGCACGTCATGTGAGACTTAATCGAACACTGTGTTCCTTATCCTTCTCGTTATCGCCGGTCAACACACGGTTCATTATCTTATCCAGAATAGAAGACACAAAGAGACACGAGGATGAATAGCATTTTCGTAACTCCATCGAGAGCCCGCGTGACGCGTGATTGGCTGAATCAGTTAATAGAGATGAATTCGTTTTATCAACAGCACATACGAGGGATGTTAACCGCACTGAGGCTGAATCAAGCGTATTATGGGACTTATTTTTTATTTAAATAGCTGCCGTTGCATTAATCCTATAACGTCGTCCTACGTGATCTCTTTCTCTTTCTCTCTCTCTCTCTCTCTCTCTCTCTCTCTCTCTCTCTCTCTCTCTCTCTCGTTGAAATATCGACATGGATATCCGCAGAAATGTACACGTCATAAATTGTCGTCAATAAACAGTAACGTGTGTTCGCCATAAAGGAAATTTTTTTTACGTTGAAAAAAAATTCCTCCTCACGAGTTTATACACCTTCGCAAATAAAATTAGCAATACACATCTCCGGCCGTAAATACGACCCTACAATGCCGCCACAATTTACGTCAGCCTGATCATAAGACGCGTTGAATATAATCACGTAATTCAGACCGGCGAATCCGCCGTTGTCGTCGTCGGTGTAAAGTTTCAACGATTTCAGAATCTCGGGATATCATATTCGATCCGTTTATTGCATTCTCGTGGAGAGCCGCGGCGCACAATACGGATCACTTTTCCGCGATAACGTCGTAAAGTCGGATCGTTCGGGTGAACAAAGAGTCTGTTCATCTGGCTCTCATGAAGTCCCGCAACGGGCGATCCGCCGTACGAAAACCGTACGTATAGAGAATCGAAGGAGAATTCCATTCGAAAAGATATTCCTACCGCGGGTTAAGATTACACCGGGATTATGTAAGTATCTTCCTTCTCGATAATATAAGATCCGAAGCGATATCGGAGGAGAATGGAACGACACATAAGCATTGCGAACGAACGATCACCTAAGATCGAAGCGGTCCCGAATTATCCGCATTCAGAATAATGACGAATATTATCATAAAATCTTCATACGGTTATTAGAATCGAAACTTGGTAGATGAGTAAAAACGTTGCTCCTTAATACGTAAAAGATGGAGCATTAAATTGACAGAAAAACGATTCGCGTGACTGATATTTTGCCGATACTCCATACGGCATAAGTGGCATGATAGATACAATTGTCAGTTCATATCTCGAATTATTGAAAAACATCGCGATCGACAACAAAACATTCTGATAAGAGACGCGAAATCGATGCAATTCCGCAAATTTCGTTTGTGTGACTAAAAAAGATATGTAATCGTCGACTCGCCGCTATCGCTCTACCGTGACTTTTAAATATCGATTGATACGATAGAGCGCGGCAAAAAAAATATGCTTAAAAAAAGTACGATAAAAAGTCTGTATGGAACAGATCCCGGCGCAGATTCAATATTCCCAGAGTGAAAACTCGTATTACGATGATATCCATAAAACTAAATGTTACTCGAAAAGAAAGCTACCAGGCGTACCTACTCTTCGCGTGTCTTCGCTCAATTCCGCGTCGACTATCCAATTTCATCCGACCGAGTTTCGCCACGTAAACGCGAATTCACCGAAGGATTTCACGTGCAACGCGTAACACGGTATCCCCTCGCGGGCTCGTTTATTATGTACGAGCCCGTGAATACCCGCGTGGAAGGACAGCGGGTAAGTCTTCACTTGGGATTTCCCGGAGCGTATTTTATATATAGAATATCCTTTTAAGGAAATTGGTTAGGGAAGTAGATGAATTTGGGAGGGACGTAAAACGCGCTGGTATATCGAGAGACCTGGTATCGGTCAAGTGAACTTATTTCCGACTCAAGAAACGTATACAGGGTGTTTCGTTATTAACTCTATATTATCGCATATGAATGCACGGGCGGGCGGCCACGTGCGGTACACGTGCAGTAACTCAAATAAACAAATGTGTAAATGACCGTAGGAGCAAAGTAGACGGAGGAAATCGCGCGCGTTTCCTCGCCCACTGACGAGGCTATGGCTAAAATACGCGCCGGGTACGCGAAATATCGTACCGCCGGTTTTCTTTTCGGCGAATTCTTCGACGCGCGCGCGCGCGCGTGCTTATATAACCTTTCCGGTTATTTAAATTAATACGGGGCCGTTGTAATGTGGAACGTACGGCGTGTATCAGCTCCGCGGTATCTCGTTTTCGTCCGCGTATATACCAGATGTACGATCAATAAAAACAGACGGCGGATGAAACGACGTCAAACATTCACGTCGTAAAGCCAATTGCCGCGGATCCGTGCGATTACGTGGCCGATAAACTATCGTAGGTTTCCGGAAAAACCTTTACGTGATAAAAACGTAGAACGACCAATTCCCGAGATAAAGGAACTTCGTCGCCGACACGAAACGGTTCTCAAATACACTAAAAATGTAGAAATTCAAAGTGTAACGTTTCCTTCAGAAAGAATCTAAAAAACGTTCAGTAAAAAAACAGTAACAAAACGGAAAGTCACGAAAACGCAACCAAGCAGAATATTTCACAAAAAAACGATGATACAAAAAGAAACGATAAATGTATCGTGGCATTACATATGTATGTGTCATTTATATGGCATATAATGTATGAGGTAAAAATATCCAGCACATTAATTAGGAATACAAAAAAGCATGCATTTCAACAACGTAATAAATTAACGCGGCACTAATTGCGTCACGGTCCGATTTCTACCCCGAAGCTATCGACGATTATGTCACGCGATAAAAAAAAAGGGAAGTACATCGGTATGCACAGATTGTAAATTGCGCGGTAAAATAAAAAAAAATATCTTTAGAAGACGATACGTTATCGCGGATGAGTTTCTTGCGCGCGCGCTCTCTCTTCGACGTCGTAATTATCCGGAAAAAAAAAACAGCAGGGACCCGCGCAACTAAGCGTTTCGAATTCGCTTTCGTAATGAACTAGACGCAAACGTAAAAATGCGAGAGACGATAAATCAGCGCGAGCACGATGCGAGGAAAAATAATTCAGCGGAAATCGGGACGCGAGACGTATATATGTATATATATTTAGCATTCGATCGACAGAGGCAATATGCGAAGCATAATGTATATTTGTCTATTTACTTCGATGTATTTTTATCTGTAAAAAAATTCGTCACGATTACGTCGATAGAGAACGGCGCGAGCGAAATTTTCATCGATACTTATTTCGCCGTTTTTTTTTTCCGGAATAATAACCACAGATACCATATTTAATACTTGTAATTCTCGGCAGCGTTATCGCGCCAATCATTTGCATTTTTATCATATCACGCGTAACGACGACAGATCGTAAAATGTGATATTACTAAATTATCGCCGTTCGGTACTTCCTGCAGTTCTGCGAAGCGCATTAAAGACGCATCTCGCGCGTAAAAGCTACACCGTAATTATGGTTATTCAAAACAAATTTATACTAAAAAATAACGCATAAAAGTACGGATAACGACTATTTCCCGGGATATATTTCGCGGGATATTTCTCGCGTTGGGAAAAACGTGTTTTTGACTACGTTTCCAGTGTGGAACCGCCGGAAACGCAAGAACGAGAGCGTCACACGTGTTGCGGGTTGATCTGGGCGATTCCGCGTAGCAGCCGAGGGTGTGCTCTTCAGATCCGTGATTTCAAGAAGGAACGACGGAGAGACGGAGGGGACGAGAGAGGCGCGGAGAAAGAAAGAGCGAGAGGGAGAGAGAAAGAGCGGAAGAAGACTATTGTGGCTAAGTTGGGGTGACTGCGGCGGCTCGCTCGGACGAACCAATTTCGCGGCCGCTCGGGCTTTAATTTGCCAACCAGACAGCGGGCCTGGCATGATACTTTCTTCCTCTCTCTCTCTCTCTCTCTCTCTCTCTCTCTCTCTCACTCTCTCTCACTCTATCGCTCTCCTTTGCCTCTTTGTTCCGGCGTATTGCACGATGCGATATACGCGAGAATAAATGCAACGTGTGTGTGTGTGTGTATGCACTTACCTGCACGACCGAGCGTCGACAGAACGGCGAGAGTCGCCACGATGAGATAGCAGAAAACGTCGGTGCTCCGCATTTTCCCCACGGCTTTCCTCCTGTCGTCTACCTTCTCTTTGTGCCGTCAACCCGCGCGCGCGACCCGCGGATCACATAATAATAAACGTGCGCGTCGGTTATTCAAAGGTCGCCCGCTCCGCACGCTCTCTCGCGCGTCTCGCCCTCTCTGTCGCTCTCTCGCTCCCGCCGCGTCGTTGCCGCCGTCGTCGCCGTCGTCCCGTCGCCCGCGCCGTCCGTCGTCGCCGGAGCCGGGAAAACAAGGAGTCGCCCCACGGGGCCGTCCACGGGTCCACGCCTCGCCGGTTCAACGTTCAACGGACGCGCGTCAGCCGGCGGCGCATCACAATGTTCGTCGGCCGGCCGCCACCGCTTTTGACAGATAAATGCCACGCCGCGCGCCGCGGAACGCGTTCAATCATCTGTTTATTAAACGACCATTTGCAATTGTCGAGGCCAATTGGAGCGGCGAGAAGTCGCCGCCGGCTGCGCTGCGGTCGATCGACCCCTCTTCGAGACCCCTCGCGACTTTCGAGACTTCGATATCTCGCGCCGGCGCCACTGCGCGTTGCCGCCCGAATTCCGCGGAAATTTCGAAATCGAAATCGTGAGAAATCGTAGAAATAGCGTTCTCGCGGTACGGAACGCGAGGATTAATTATTTCCCGCGCGCACGCTATCAATAGCTTACAATAGGCAGTGTGTAAATATATATATATATATTATATGGGTTTGAAAAGCTTGAAAGCGTGGACCTCTAAAAGTGCGAAGTTACGTTCCGTTTCGCGTACAATACGCATAATGCATCATTTTATCCTTGTTTGACATTCAGCGAACAACGAAGATAAAGAACATGATACGGCATCGTACAAGAAACGGGCACGCGCGCACCGAATCTAGAATAAAAGGCTCCACGGAGGAATTTATCACGTGATCATGCGGGGTGACGTTTTCACGCATGCGTACGGAAAGTCCCGCCGGGAAGATTTGTCCCTCGATCGGCTCCATGCCTCCATCTCCATCCCCATCCTTGGATGGCTTCGTGACGACGATAACAGCGGCACGTGGTTAGCGGCGAGTGCTGTTGTTAGAAACGCGGCCGCTAACCGAGTAACCTTGATCGCGTCACCTCCGATCGCGCGATTCCTGACTCGAAGAATTGACTTAAAAGCGTCACGATGAAGGAGGATTCCGTGTTGAGCTTCAAGTGGCAGAGCTTCCCGTCGCACATGGTGGGCTCGCTCGACACCTGTTACGAGAAACAGCAATTCGTCGATCTCTCCCTGGTGTGCAAGGACAGCACCATCCTCAAGTGTCACAAGATGGTACTGGCCAATTCGAGCTCCTTCTTCCGCCGGCTGCTCCTGGCCAACGATCATCCGCATCCGATGATCGTTCTGCACGACATCGAGGCCGACGATCTCAAGACTATAGTGAATTTCATGTACTGCGGCGAGATACAAGTAGTCCAGAGTGAGGTTAGGCGGCTGCTGAAGCTCGCCGAGATCCTCGAGGTCACCGGTCTGCGACACATCCCGCCCTCGTTGCTGTCCGACGGTTCCAACAACAAGGAGCACTACGACGCGCTGAAGAAGACGACGACGGTGTCGCGGGTGAGGCTGGAGGAAACCAAGAACACGCCCGGTAGAAATGTCGTCGCGGAGCACGAGACGGCCGCGAGGATGCAGGGTAAGGAGCGCCCGCAGACGAGGCTTGCTTCGAAGATGAATGCATACAAAACGGCGGCCAAAGTTCCTCAGGAAACGTCGAAGAGCGAGGAGATCAACATAAGCGAGCTGTGCCAACGGCTGGAGACCAGCAACTCTGGTATCAGTATTATAGACATTAACGAGCCGAGTACAAGTAGAGGAGTGCGAAGAGCGTCCCCGATGCAGCGCAGAGAACTGCTCAAGAAGAAGGAATTTCCGATGATTCCTGAGATCAACTGGCCGAGTGTACTCTCCACGATAACGAGCAAGCCGTTGTCTTCTCAGAAAGTGCGTTGTATCATGGACGAGGTAGAGATCACAGCGGGAAGGCCATCCACTTCTGCGTCGGATAATAAAATAAACGACCCGTTAGACAGGCGAAAATTTAAGAAGAATTCCGCCGAGGATAACAATTTAAGTACAGTTTACATAAAGGACGAAATCGATATATGTTCGGACGTGGAAGAAGACGTCGACATGGATCCTCTAGAAGTCGACGAGATTGACAATGACAATTTGGAAAGCAGTAAAACTACGCCACAGTTTTTCTCTCAGATGATGATCCATTCGTTAAATAAGAACACTCATTCTCATATGGAATTCTCATCTAGAAAAGATTCAAATAGTTAATATGACTAGAATGTTATTCTCACTTTCATAAATTAACAAAGAATTGTATATATATATATACACATCTCATTGCATGTTATTCTCACATATTACATTTTGATATTCATACATATAACATTCAAAGTTCCAAACTGTTGCTAACCGATCATCGTTTTCTTATTAAAGTTGCATAACTTTGCTGTTTTTCATAATAAAGCTGTGCAAATCGTAACTTATTTAAAGATCTATATGTATTTATGATATGAAAGATTATTCTTTAATGTACATTTTATTTATACAATTTTATTGATAATGTATTTAGGCTTGATTATACATATACATATACATAAGTAGATATATAGCGTAACAAACCATAGCAACTCGGTTATATAGCGTTTCCTTGGAAGCAAACTTCTCCTTATAATGCATAGAAAAGGTTTTTGCAATTGTTCCTACGATTTTACATAAAAAATGGATATGAATATGCAGAATAAAGTAAGTTGTGATAAAGAAGAACAGGCAAATCATATTGTTAATAAATTAAACCCTGTAACGGAAGAAGAGTTTCAAAATTTCATGCATCGTGTCACTGAAGTGGGTAAGTGTGACACGCGCGATTATATCGTGTAAATTTATACCTGTCAATGAAATTCTTCATTCAAGAAAAAATCGTGAAAAAGTTGGCATCTTCCGATCAAGAGGAGCAAGAATGCGGGAAAAAGTTAGCCGATGAAATTTTACAAAAAGGTGTCGAAAGAGAAATCTGTGAACACGGAGAGGTAAAAATTAAAACTGATCGGTCATTAATCAATAAATATCCGTCAAAAGATGATTCAAATAACGACCCGAACAAAATGTCGCGAGGTAAATTGTTCATTCTGTTTTATATATCACTGTCTCGTCCATTCGTAGCGATAAATTATAAATTAACGCGATTTATACGAACAGAGATATTCATGAAGAGCGTGGAAAAGGATGCTAAAAAACGAGCTGAAGATCGCAAAATTAGAAATGAACGGGCGGAAACGTTAAAGAGAATTGCAAACGGTGCGTTTAAAGAAGGTGATTACGAGAAAGCCGTGACTTATTACAGCAAAGCATTAGAACAACGTAAGGATTCCTCGGTATTGTGGAATAACCGTGCGTTATCGTACATGCATCTCGGATTATTCGAGAAAGCCTTGCACGACTGCGAGTGGACGTTAAAACTGAATGACTCAAATTTAAAAGCTCTTTTGAATAGTGCCAAGTGTTACATGCATCTCGAAAACAAGGAGAAGAGTAAAGAATATATACAGATGGCCAAAGAAAGGAATCCTCATTTCAGCAAGTTTATCAATGGTATATTGTCGAATATTTTAATTTTAAAATTTAACTTTACATCCCCTTTCACGTAACGACTTATTTTACATTTTACAGAATTTCAGGAAGATTTAGAGCTTCAGTTTAACAAGTCCAACGTTCAGATAATCAATGACGATGAAATATAGTAGCTTCTTTTTTTTTCATAGAAATAACGCCGTTTTACGTAATATATATATAAATTAATATAATAAATTAACAATAGAAATGCCTAGTATCAGTATATATTTTCTTTATGATCGCCTAGATATTCCAAATAATATCAAGATTGTTCTATACTTGTTGCGTTACCTTCTTTAATTTCTGACAGAGACCTTGGTTCGTGTAAGAAAACTGTACACTCGATGCCCTGAAAAAAAAATACAATATCTGTGTAACACTGACTAAGAACTGTCTTAGTGAAACTTGTGAAACAATCTTGTACGACGAATGTATTTACCTGCATGCGCGCCGCTCTTACAAATCCCTCGTTAGCAGAAACAGTGATGCTTTTCATACTCTCGCCCGTTGCAAAAATCAATCGCGATCGGTCCTTAATTTTACCGCCTAAACGCAGCTCCATAATTCGTCCAGTGGTCACGTCGTCGACGATTCGGACTTTCTTTAACAATTCCTGAGCACGCTGCGCCTCTTTCGGACCACCGATAACGTCGATGATATTCATAAAATTGTTATACGCCGTCCGGCAGACCATCAGTTCTTTGTCGCGAAACAAATTCTCGAGGATCGGTTTTATGGGACGTTTCCTCTCCATTTCCGCTTGTTGCGTAAGCAGTGGCTCCCGATAAATATAGTTATCGTATCCATTGGTCATATTCGTAACGTAAGCCAGTAGCGCCGACACATCCAGATTCAGGAGTTTGATTTCGGTTGACAGCACAGATGTATTCAATGACTGCAGATCCACATCCTTTTCGGAATCGCTTGTAGATCCTTTGGACAAATCCAGTTCATCTTGTTCTACCTCCAAAAAAATAAGTAGAGAACAATAAGTATACATAAGGTTACACTTTCACACGATCTAGTTCTTCAAATATTTATTTAGAAGTAAATTGTACTGACTGTTCGAATTCTCGTCGTTCGTGTCTATCCTGTCTCCCTCCACCGTGATGCCCATTTGCTCCAGTTGCAAGGCTAGCGGAACCTCTACGCCGTAAGCAAAATGAAATATCACATCTGGCGGTCTGTAGTGATGCAGATGACACTTGCTACATACAAGATACGAATTGGCCTGGTCCAGAACAGATTTCTGCCCGTATTCTCCATTGCCGAGAGATATCAGCGTTAACGCTTTGGCGTTTCTCGCTATAACTTTCACCCATGAAGCGCCACTGTTACACACTATGTCAACCTCCAGACGCAATTTCTGATACTTGAAGGGTCTCATCACGCTGCTGGGATCCTTTGCACAGGACAGCCGAGCCACCATAGCGTCGAGATGAGTCAGATTCGAGCCCTGGAGATGTTTCTTATTCAAGTTTCCCATACATTGCACCTGAAAGAAGCATAAGGTTATCAGTCTATGCTAATTCAACTTAACGTGCCAATCTATCTCTATCCAGATGGAGAAGAATTTAATCCTCAACTCTGAAAACTCCAGATCGCAGTAGATTCGTTTTAGAAATTTAATTATCTCTTGCCTTCTCCAGAAATTTTATCTCCTGCTGAATCTTCCGCATCAGCTTGTCAATCCCGTCGATCTTGTCCATGAGTTTCAGCCGCTCGATCAAGCTGTGGCCACTGGCGATTTTCTCCTCGAGGCACTGGAGCAGCTCGTCGCCCATTTCGTCCTCCATCGCCATGGTGAGGAGCTCCCGGTCGACGGTCCCCCGTCGGACGTGCGAGCAGAATCGAACCTTCCCCAAGTCAGTCCCAACACTCCCTTCTTCTTCTTCTTCTTTTTCGTTTGGGTGGCCCTGGTCCCCTGTACAGGGGTATACTTGGCCAGTCTTTCCAACTTAGATGAATGATGCAGTACTAAATCTTGATAAGTGAATCAATTGAATGATGCAATATTAAAACGTGCTGATGGAATTCTCGGCCACAGACGTCCACCTCAGTCTATGGCTCGCAAAAGAATCCCCCAAGTCCCAACACTCCCAAGTCCCAACACTCCTAACCTCCCCCGCGACTGTCCACGAAACACGAATGCCACGACGGTCGTCGCACATGACGGCAGTCCCGCGCGGTGTGCGTGATGCGTGCAGCCATCTTGCGCCGTGGGTCAATATCACGCGTTCGCGTAATGTCGTCGCCGTCGTCGGCTTCTGGCCTCTTGTGTCAAACTCGCCTCAATTAACCTCTCTCGCGCGTAAAAACTTTTCGCTCCGGCACTCGCGACAAGCGACAGTCGATGCCGACGTGCGAGCCGCGTTGGGACGTTACGCGCCGTTACGTGACGCGAAACGGTGTCGTCGACGAGCGCGTGACAACGAGAACGACGGGCACGACGTCGACGACGACGACGTGCGGGAGGACGACGACGAGGACGACGAATCCGCGGTGCGGAATCGCGACGTCCACGTGAGGCCGCGGCGCGGACCCCCCTGCTCTCGACGGAAACGGAGTTCGGAGTCAAAATCTTCCGCAGCGGGTGGAAAATGTCCAGCGTCAAAATCATAGAGAATCCAGAAGTGCCGGGTGAGTCGTCCGCAAGGTCGTCTAGCTGTCATCCTCGGGGGGGTGGGGGGGGGGGACCGATCCTTCTCCCTTTCGTCTCCGCTGCGACGTCCGTGTTCGACTCCGCAATAATGTGCGTGTGTCTGTAACGGGGCTAAAAATAAAAAAGGGAGAAAAAAAACATGTACAGTCCCGAGACGCATCGTTGCGAGATGTTTCGTCGATTTCTCGGAACGTCTCGTCGGTCCGGAAGATTATCTCAATTAAGCGCGCGATCTGTATTATAATCGGGATTATATTCGAAGCTCCAAAGCTGCCGGATCGTGACTCGCCGGACGAGACGATTATCGTGTATGTGTATGTGTGTATGTGTGTGTGTCTGTGTGTGTGTGTGTTGTGTGTGTGTATATACATTACGAGTGAATTACGCGGCATTGTCGAAGAGTGCATGGGTCACGCAACGAACATGCGAGCTTATAATGTTACGTTATGCCAGATCGAATCTATGATTTGATTGTCTCTGTTTCGGAACATTTAAAACGCGCTTACGGTCATTTTGTAAACAGAGCAATCAGTCGATATAATTCGGAGCATGTTTTCTTTTGCGAATTTTTGTCCGAAAAGGACTGAGGGTAATCAAATGTAAATATATACACACGCACACGAAATGAAATGAATTCCCATTTCATGAACACGATAATGTCTGTCGTTTAAAACGTAAAATGTAATAATGGATTTTTGCACCAACAAACGTAAGGGGTGTAATAATTGGAATTGTGTATCAAAATTCTATATTTATTAACTGTCGAACTATGTCGTAGTTCTGAATAAATGAAAACACATTAATTTCCTCAAATTAAAATACAGCAATATAGCGTAGTCCATGAAGTAAAACGCGATCATTTTTTTGTCGCCCTATAATTATATACCGATTATGTAACTAACGCGATCGTGTAAGTCTTGTCTATGCGAGTAATATCGAAGATACGGCGAGAGCAGCTATACGGTCGCTGAAATAAATTACGTCAGCAGCGCGGCGCGGACGTGTGATAAGCTAAATATGTATCGCTGTCTGGGCGCGGGAGATGTATTATCGCGTAATGCCGCGCAGGTCTTTTGTATCAGCCGGTCGCCCGCGCGCGCGAATCAACGCGACGTGTACGTTGCGTGCGCGTGCAATTAAAAACGCGATACCCCCGTAAATTGTGTAAGAGCCGCGCGCGATAGGCATCGCGTTTTAACGGGCGCCGCGCCCGACTTATCTATATACCTACGTTTCTCGCCGAAAGCGAATCATCTTGCCCGGTCACCACACGATCATTATCACGATCGTAAATCTCGTAGGCCGCGCGACGCTGTGTGAAATTTTGCCACGGCGCGCGAATCGAGTACCTGTTCGCCAGTAAGAATAATATACTGTCGCAAGTCCGCGAGTAGGATACGCTAATAAACTTGTCCGGAAGAAAACTTGCCCTTGACGAAAGTTGAAGACGGTCCTTTCGGACCTCCCTTTGTTCGTAACCATCCTCGCTGTCATTTACCGTTAGGCTCAGTAAAAAAATGGTACAAGCTGACAAAAATAATTCGACATAAATAATACGGGGTACGAAGCGTACCGCTGCCGTAATTAGCCCACCATGTTGTAGACCCGAAAGGTCTTCCTTTCACAATACATTGTAGAATGACAATAACGTGACAGGTTGCTGCGGGGTAAACCGCGGGGTGTCGCATGATCTATAACTTTCGATTTTTGCAAAAATTCCTGTGTGTCTCGAAACGAGAAAAATGTGGTAACCACCGCGTGTCGAGGATCCCTTTTTTTTCTCCACCTTTCTTGGGAGCGCAGAGATGACTTATATAGAATTCTTCGGTTTACCATTTCTTCTCTCTTGCAACAGGACTCGAATGCTTTCTACCACCGCCTCCGCCACCGCCGCCGCCGCCACCACCGCCTCCCCCGCCGCCGCCGCCGCCACCGCCGTCTTCCTCGAGCAAACCCCCGAACGGCAATGCACAGTTGACAACGACGCAACAGCAACGACCGGCGACAACGAGCGAGAACGTGATGACCGTCGCCGCGCCGGTAGCGATCGCGAACGACGGGGCCTGTCCGAGTACTCCCCTGAGTACGTTCCCGAACTCCGTGCCCGCCATGCCACCGAGTCCGTACATGCTGCATCCGACGATGCAACCGCAGACCGGGCAGCAGGCAACCTCCTGGTGGGCACCCCCGGATAGCGATACCTCAGAGGTTTACACTCCGTGGTACGACCCGGCTTACAAGGGTGCAGCTACTGCGCCAGTGGCATCTCCCGCGGCGACCGCAGTCATAGGGAAGAACAAGAGCAAGAACTTTTTCAAGCGCAAAAACGAGTTCATAGATCCCGCACAGGATGCAGGTAATTGGAGCATTTAAAAAATGAAAAATAATAATAATAGAGAGAGAGAAAATTATTAAATAGATAGCAAATTATTAATATGTAAAATATTAATTTCTGTGTTTATATATTTTTCAGAGAAAGTGGCGAGCGCGCAGAGAGAACTGTCGGCACTGATGAAACCGCTCAACTGCGATCTATGCAATGCAGTCGTAAGACCCGGCTAATATCATAATTGGATAATTAGAGACCTCTCTCCGTTTAAATCTAGTTTTATTCCGAGAATAACTCCGCGTAGATTTCATGTCGATAAAATTATGAGCATCGTATGTATCTCTCGATATCGTACTTTGCAGATGAACTCCACGCTACAAGCGAAATTGCATTATGACGGCAAGCCGCATCAGAAAAAAGTATCGATGTTTCTCAATCAGAGCGTTAAAAAACAGAAAACGGAAGACGGCCAAGTGAGCAGTACGACCAATACCGACTGGCAAAACTACTGTGATGTAAGAGGCCAATGTTTCGCCTACAGTTATGTATTTACATACATAAGTCGCATATTAATGTACCTCGCATACGATCTACATTGCTAGATATGCAAAACGTGGTTTACGTCGCCTACCGACGCCACGCAACACTACGCGGGCAAAAAGCACATTAGGGCGGCAAACGGCGGGCCTCGTGTGAGGTACGGATCTGTATTCAAGCTCTCTCTCTCTCTCTCTAATAATAGTTACATTAATAACGATCGATAAATTACGGACGGTAATTTAATAATTTATTTATTTTAACAATTCAGTAGCTCGCGTAACAAATCACGTAACGATCGAGTTCAGTTATGTTCATCGTGATAATAACGAGACCGTTGCGACTCCGCAGGCCGTCGAAGAAGCTGCAAACACAGAACCATCAGTACAATCAGGTGGACTCGACGGGTCGCTACGGAATTGGAATGGCCTTCCAGACGGACGTGCAATCCGCCCCGGCTGTGACACCGATTGTACCCGATGGTACAACCGCGGTGCCGAATTCGACCGCGGTGCCGAATCCGGCCGTGGTGGCGAATCGGTCCGCGGTGCCGAATCCGACCGCGGTGCCATCCGTATACACGTTACCATCGTGCATGATGTTGCGCTGCGACTTGTGCGGAGTCTCGGCCAATCGTCAGGATCAGTTGGAGACACACAAACGCGGAGCCCGACATTTGAGAATGCTCAGGCTCAGTGGATTCCCTGTACCTGAATCCGGGAGTATTGGTGAGCAAAAAAAACATATTATGTATACATGTATACGTGTGTCGTGTTTACTCAATTGATTCTTCGCATTTTGTTTCAGCTGCCGAAAACGAGAACGCGTCCTCGGAACCTATTCTATTTATAGATTATTCTATTTATCGGACACCGTCAGGTAAGAAATCGTTACGGTATATTAAGATTAGAAAAGTCCGTTTTTCATGATATTGCAACGCTGGTGCAACGATTGCTGAACGACGTTTTCGTTTTGCAGGGCAGTATTACTGCGCGCCGTGCAATCTATCGTTAAACTCGGAGACCACGTTCGCCCAGCACGTAGAAAGCAAGAAACACAAAAATCAGTCTAACCCAAAGTTACCCAACGTCGCGGTGGCGGCAAAGAAAGCCAGATTCAAGAAAAAAATAAAACCGTGAACAATGACATTACTTTCTAATACAATGCCACAGCGTTTCAGCTTTTTTTGTTGTTTTTTTCCAGTTTTGAACCTTGCATCATTCTCGTGCGTGTACACGCTTTGCCGGTCACAGCTGTACGACAAAGAAATACACGAAATTCATTCTGAGTTGAGTGCAATAAATTATAACTTGTTCGAGACACACTGGAAAGAAAAAAGTGACTGCGTCTCTCGGTGCTTCCCAAGTCTGAAGTCACCGGTATACTCCAGCGAATTTCATTAGACCGCGGACGGACGAAGTGCCGAATATTGCGAATTAACGCGAAGTTAGATCGAGCGACTGATGGGAAACGTAAGTCTGTTAGTTACGCGAGGTGAGTATCTAAATTAAATGCCGATTAACTGTAGATTAAATTTGTAGTAAATCGAGCGCGGGGTGATTTAGACGGCGGCTCATTAAAACGCGTCTCGGCGCCGCGACTAATCGTCTTTCGCATTTATTCAATTACCGAGATCATTACTTCAAGTCTCGCGACAAGCGTCGGCGTCGCGAGATTCGCGAAATCTTCGTACGTGTATATAACGTGCGGTACAACATAACATTTTGACGTCGTTCGTTCTCTATGTATCTCTCACACACGCACATACACACACACACACACACACACACACAATCGTCTGCCGCGCGGTTTATGGACGAGTGAACGAGCTAAACTCTCGTCTATTAATTACCTCATAAGATACGTAAGGCGGAACGATATTTCCCGCCTCTTTTTACTGTCAGTCGCGACGAATATGTCTCTCTTAGAACGGCGGCGGAAATAAAAACGTCGCTGTAAAGCGATATGAATCAACAATGAAGTACCCGGGCAAGGCAAACGGGCAGCAGCACAGCGACAGCACGACGTTTATGATGGGCGTCCAAAAATGGTAGCGCAGGAAACGGGCGGCCTTCAAACATGGATTTTCGAATTCGCCGCAAATTCTCACGACGAACGAGGGCCAAGAAGGTAAGAACGAGCGCGCGCGAGAGGGTTGAGAAATCTTGACGCCGCGGGCGATGCCGTGTACTCGAAATTCCTCCGAGGCTCTAATATCTCTTCCCTCCCTCCCCCCCCCGTTCCCCTGTGCAGCCTCTTCCTTTCCCCTTGCCGCCCCGGATGCGTGACGCGCCGCATACCAGCGATTTTCTAACGAATCCCGGCAATTTCGCGGCCCCCTCGATCTCCCGTTCTCCACCTCTCGATACGGTATTCTTTTTGGTTTTCCGAGCGCTGGACTCCCTCCCCCCCCCCGCGCCGTGAGCATCAGCAGCGCGAGATTAGGATCGCCCTCGCGCGCGGACTTGTAGATCGGTCGGTTTATACCTGCGCTTCGGATTTTTTTTACGACCCGACCGCGCACCGCGCGTGTAACGCTGTGACCGGCTCTCGTTTTATTTCCCGCCACGTCCACCTACCTCCCGTGTCCCTTTTCCGTCCTTTTGTCTCCCACGGGAGACGCCGGTTTCTCGCCGCGCCTTTTTCTTTACAACCCGAGAGCGGAGTCACTTCTGTATGTAATGCACCATATTTCGTCGCATGCGCGGGGGTCGTAAATTATCTGAACGGATGGAATATATGCGCCGCGTAACCGGAGCATATTCGCACATGCGTGCGTCTCCCGTCTAAACATCCGCGCGTCGTTGACCAATGATTATTCGAGAAACCGTATCACTGTTACATTAACAATTATTATTTATCATTATTATTGCTTATTGTTGTTAATATGGGGCATTGATATGCCTCAAACTACGATGAAATATCATCAGCTCCAGTTCTGAGATTGCGTCGCCGTTTCTCGTATATGATCAATGATCAATGATCACGACGTCTAAACATTTAGACAGGAAGTACGCGTTTTCTACCGATTATCCCCGCATCCGATTACACGCGGACACACGTGCACATAAAGTATAAGGGTAGTTGTTACCCTCATAAACGGCCGAATTCCCGGAGAGAAGAGGAGGAGCGTTTTGTGGCTCTTTACTCGCGCGAACTTCTCGTCGAATGATTAAAGCACGATGACACGGTTCGATTTCGAAGCCGATGAGAAGCGTTAAGGGGGAGGGGGAGGGAGAAAAACACAAATTAATCTGTGACGCGGCGAAGATTTTAAGGAACGTATAAAGCCATTAATCGTCCGCCCCGCATTTCGGTGGAATTCGTCTCGATGACTGGAGAGAATTTCTGAGAAGCCTCGATCGGGTCAGAGCAAGAGAGTTCGCTTCCACCTGCGACGGGCAGTAGCGGTGCAACCAGACGCCGTGACGAAAAAATCAATCGATCGACCGACCGATCGCTCCCTCGTTCAAGGCTCCACCGCGATCGGCTCGTCGTTGTCCTCTCGAATCTGCGCTCTCGGTTCTCTCGGATAAGAGAGAGAGTAACACGCAAAAATCACCTATCGGCCGTGACTCGTGAAGAAAATCGCAGTCGCTGCGCAACGCTACGAGCTATTAGGAACGCATGAATAACCAGGGAACAAGAGTGAAAAGAAAACGTTACATCGGCGATTGCGATTATTCTCTCGCAGAAGATTATAATCGTACGAAAGAGCGCGGTACGCAATATAATGGCATATCGAGAAAAGCTGTCAAAACTTAAAAGTGCTTTAAAAAAAAATGATGTCGCGAGTCTCTGAAAAATAATTTTTTCGACAAGTAAAGCCGGTGGAAAGTACAAGATGGAAAAAATATCGTAAAGTGATTCAAATATAACCGGACTGATGGTTGTGTACATTTATAATTTATATATTTCATGATTTATATCTTTCATTTCGTGTTTCATGAAAAAACATCTGAAAAGAAATTTTGCTGAAAAGAAATTTTGTCCGACGATTTTCTCGACGATGCTCGTTCTCCGCATAAGAGACGTCCGCGTCCGGCCGATATGTTGCAACGAACGATGAATGGGATTACACCGCGTATAAGGGAGCCGACGGGATGCCGAACGGGGCGTAATCGGTCGTTACGGAATCGTTCGCGCAGAAATCCTCTTCCGCGGTCCGCGGATTGGATCTGGCTCTATCGAGAGGGAATACGGATCGGTCGATAGATCGTCTCGGATGGCCGGCGCCGTGCGTCGCGCGTCGCGACTCGGGTATATGCACGCGGGTTGAGCAATCGGCTCCGCTGAATCGCTGAATTCCAAGGTGTAAACGATGGTGATTAATAAGAGAGAAACCGCGCGCGAGAGTAGACTCGCTTCGACGACTCCGACTTTATAAATTACCCTGCAGACTACCGAGATTTTTCCTGTTCGGAGCTACCGCGATGTAATGTCGATTTGACATTATAAACACGAGAGAGTGTTCCAAACTACGGAGTCCTCCGGAACACATAAATCTTAAATTTTCTACGTAAATCTGTAATAACACTCATTTTCTTGTATAATCAATTGCTGAATTTAGATAAATCAAGTTATATATTTCATGTATTTAGCTGTGTGAAGTTGTCCCCCCCAACTACTGAAAATTCAAAAACGAACATTACTACTCGATTGGTGATCGTTTAATAATATTTGGTAGTCCATTCTCAATAATTGGTAGTCAAAGTAGTAAATAATAATATGAATAAAAATATACGCGCGTAAAGTTATTCCTTTCGTAAAATATGGCTTTCCAGACTATATAAGTAATCATAACTGTAAGCATTCGTTTGATGATCGTTTACTAATGTTTGATAGTTCAACTTTGACTTATCATCGAGAATGGACTACCAAATACTACCACATGACCACCAATCGAGTGGTAATGATCGTTTTTGAATTTTCAGTAGTGGGAGGGGGGATCAATTTATACAGCTCATGTATTTGTGAAAGAAAACGCAGGTGTAATCTATATATTTATAGATTTTCGACACGACGCAGTGTACACGAGAGCGCGGGTTTCCATTTTAATATTCATTCGCTCTTCCGAGCTAATTGCGGTCTCGTGCGTTTCGTCGGCGAATCAAGCAGCTGCGGCCCGTTTAAAGCGCGTTATTTTTGCGCGATCTTTTCTAATATCGCTAACGAACGGCTAACCGAGTTAGCGCCGGTCGAACGGTACCGGAGCAGACCGGACGAGAGAGAGAGTAGAGCAGCTCCTTTGTCTCGACGTCGATTCCATTGTTCCGGCCGATGCGTAGAAAAAACTTGAAGAAGAAACACGATGACGCGCGGACGCGCACGAATCTCCACGGCGAGTTGACGACGACGACGACGACGACGACGGCGGCGGCGGCGGCGGCGGTCGTCCCGACAAATTCGTATAATTATTTCTCGATTAGGAGAAGGCGAGTCGCGACGTGGATCGTTGCTCGAGATTAGATCACCGACGCGTTAACGGGACAAGTCTGTTCACATTGAGTCGAGTTTTACGCTCTCCATCGCTCTCCGTCATTCACAGTAACTTCGTCCAATTGCGGAAACGTTGCGGGCGATCCCGAAATTAATATAACATTTTTTATTCATTTGTAAGATAGAAAGAGAACTAGCGCGGATTCGTCGATCACGAATTCCAGCAACATGATCCTTTTTAGGCAGTACATTACTTTGTAAAATATGAGCCGATGACAAACAGAAACGGAGAAGAAGAAAGAGAGGAAAGGAGGATGTCGCGGTTGGGGGAAGGGGAGACAATAAAAATGAATAACGACGCTAACTTAGCCCAATCTAATCTAAACACTTAACATTATCGTGGTGTAACTAAAAACCCGCAATCTCATATACGGCACTAAATTAGGAATTTCCTAACAGCGGTAAATGATTATAGACTTCCGAGAAGGAGGAAGACACGGGGTGGGAAGAACATCGCTCCGAGCGGCGAACGCGGTGCGTGTCGCTGAGAGGAAGTCGGAGGGCAGGAAGGAGGAAGGGGGAGCAATAAAAACTGATCGGGACGCGCATCTCGGTGGGACCGGCCTTTGCGGGCCACCAATGTCGTGCCGTCGAGAAAATAGAAAATCGTGGCGCGCTCCCTAAATGCGGGCGGTGTGATGTCATGCGGAAATAGCCGTCCGTCTACTCGTCGGGCCGCGCCGCGGCCGCAACCACGACCGGAGGGGAATAGAGAGGGAAACGATCTCGATCGATCACGAACGATTACCTTCCTCGCCTCACTTCAGCTACGAAAGAAGAAGAGCCCGT